GTATTTGCTGTTGTAGGGAAAGAAAACTGTAATGTGAACATTAATCTTGAGTTGGTGAAAATATATTGTATTTATTTCCTGGGTTTGTAACTAAATTATTGTGTGAATGTTTATAATTATTATTAATTAATTATTATTGTTATTATTATGGAACTCTCTGTGCATTGCTGCCCAAATCAAATTCTGGAAGTGGTCATTCAACTACATCTGCTACAAAAGGACAACTGATATTACCAACTTTTAAAAACTGTAAAGACCAGAGGTCTTTCTTCTATGTTWATACTAAAGCATGGAATGACATTCCTCAAAACATAAAGTCCATTTCAAAACTACAGCCCTTTAAGAAGAATCTTGTCTGCCATCTGCTGGACACTTTTTGTTGTGCTCATATTTACACGTCCTATTTTGCAAATGCTGCCTTTTTGAAATTTGGTATGCTTGTTTGTCTTTGTGTCTATGGTGTATAATGATGTGATTGTGATGCTGTAATTCTGAGTGCTTTATGTGCTGCAGAACAGGAACCTGCTGTAAAACAGCAATTATGKTGAGTCAGGCTTGATTTTTAGTAATCTTTTCCTGTTAAACAAATAAATCAAATCAAATCAAATCAATAAAGCATATAAAGATTTATAAAAGAAAGAGGCGGGTATGGATATGGATAACTATAAAGCATTCACACTATTGAGATTATTTTTTCTTACATACATTTTTCGGCACATATTTCATTCCGCAATTGTACAATTTATGTTTCAACACTTTTAGCCCCTTCAGGATATTCTGGCTATAACTTAAAATGTCAGCAATTAATACTTTGAGAAATTAAGCCTTTCTGCCCTATTTTTTTCTCATTGAAAATGGATGAAGCTGTTCTCAACACCCTTAAAACTCTTTAAAATATTCATAAAACTTTGCTGTACATTTTACCTTTTGTTCTGGTTCTGCTTTTTAAACTCCTTTTTTACAAATTTTTAGCTTTGTTCAGCTTCTATTTTGCTGATTTTAACTATTTTCAGCTTGTTTAGCGGTCATTCCAAACTTCACTGTTATTTTTATGCTAATCTTTTGTGCTTCTTTTAGCTTTTTCTGCTATTTTACACTTTTTTGGCTGGTTTCTGTGCTTTTAGCTATGATTCGAATCTTTTCAGCCATTCTTCTAATTTCAAATTTTTACACTTCTTTTTGCCAATATAACTCCTTTCTGCTGTTTTCCATGTTTTTAGCTATCATTCTAACATTTTCTGGTATTTTTCTGCTAATTTGTGCTCTTCCGGCTACTTTCTGCTATTTTAAGCTTCTTTCATGTACTTTTTGTGTTTTTAGCTACCTTTTTTTTAGCTAATTCAAGCTTTTTTCAGCTAAATTCCATTTTTTTGTAATAATTTCTGCTTCTTACTACCTAATTCAGCAAACGTGCTCATTCTGTTTCTTTATGCTAATTTCAGTTACTTCAGCTATTACTTTTAAGCTATTTTAGGCTAGTTTCAGATTTTTCTTACCTGTTCAGCACAAATGACTATCACCTGCTGCCTCTGCAAGAGTTTGACACTGAAATCATCTTATATTAATATCGCAGAATAAGACTGTTTGTTGAGCTGACTACAAAAGGTAATCAGTAGATGGACATAATGATCACTTTCTGTAGGTTTCATTCAAATTCTTCTGGTGGTTCATGAGACATTTTGCTGATAGACATACACATGCACACATGATTACGAGCAAAAACAATATGGCTTTGCCTTTTGGAAGCAGGCGAGAACTAAATAAAACATTTGCATGAGATCAATAAGAGCTTCCTCACGACACGAGCTAAATTTCAGCTAATACACAAATAAACTTTCCAATCTTTGCACATATGGGGTCACTGCATTGAAGGTGAAGCTCAAAATTTGCTGATTAAAGTGTCTATATTTGTCTAAGAATGATATAATTTGGATGTCAGGTATGTCTGTCTTCTCAGATAAGTCAATATCAGGTTTAAGCTGACTGTGCAGTTTTTACATAATTATAAAACTTGATCCTGCGAGGACAAACAGTTTTTTTTTTTTGCTTTCTAATTTTATCTTTCAGCCTATAAATACTCTCCACAAGTTGATTCAGGATTATGTCTGGGTCCCAGCTGAGTGAAGCCCACCCACTTGAGTGGAAATAAATAATAAATAAATAAAGCTGCAACAAAAGAACACAAAGAATAACTTTGCAATGATCTTTAGGAGCTTTCTGGGCAGACACACATGAAATTTCTTCAACTGAGATGAAAACAAGAAATATTTTTTTTTGTCAAACAACTGCAAACTGAAAGCTTGCATGTCAGCGGGACCAAGACCATCGCCAATTGGACACTGCTGGCAGCTCTCCAGCCAATCAGAAGGGGTTAAGTGAGTTCACTCAGGTTGTTCAGGGTTCAGCAGAGACACTGCAGGGCAAGAATTTCATCTGTTAAAGCTGTCTGGGTTAGGAGGCCAATGGTTAAAAAAACAAACAATAATAATCAGTTTGACAGCTTCATGATGAAGAAGAGATTTGACCAAAACATGTCCTGATGTGTCAAAAGTTCAACAGAATGTGGAAACGCCACTTTCCAAAGGAACAAAGTGCTTTACAAAATACAGTAAAAACACTCAACAATAAACATATGAAAGCATAAAAGCACAGGAAGAACAGATAGAAAACATAAAAATCAACATCCTAATATGTAAAAAAAGGCAGTGAATAAAAGTGAGTTTTAATGCAATAGCTTGATGTTAACTTTAACGAAACTCAACTTTGTTTTAATTAACAACAAATTCATGAAATCTCAGACTGTAGGAAAGATACCTGTTCATACCTGATCTAAGGTCAGATAAAATAAAATAAAATAAAACAGCAAAGCAGGAGAATTAATCATCAGCCGGAGCAAGCAGAAAATCCATCTGTTAGACCTTAATCCATCATCCAAATATGGTTGAACATGATAAAAATGGGACCTGAAACCAAAGTGTTGTTCAGCATTACAATACATTTAAAAGAGACTAAAAGCCTTTCGGCTGTATGTAAAACATGCATTATTTGATGCAGATTTACCAAATCACTGGAGATAAGATAAAATTAAGATTCACATTGCTAGACTTTTGTGTATTTCATTAATAACCAACCAGAAGAAAAAATTTATTTTAGCAACATGAGGAACTAGATTCTGTTGCAACTGTTTTAACATGTTGCTTTTTCTCAGAATATACAAATTTATTTTTTTAATGTCACTTTCTAGGCATTTTTGATAAATGTCGTACCCGGGCAGTCAGTGGCGAGTTTCGGTCACTCGTTTAGAATGCGTAGACACAAACGCTAAATCTATTTAAACAGTTTGTTTTCCGCTTTGGTTTAAAAAAAATTGTTGACAATTTTTTTGTGTATTCTATGTCTGAAGGACTCTGTAAAATTGATAGGCACGTATACTGCAGGCCTTGCTTCCTAATTTTCAACTTTTGATGATGTCTAAATTCTGAATGGATGG